CATTTAATTATCAACCTGAAAACTGTAGGTTAATAATTAATGCACAAACATCTAATACTTATCTAATTCAGCGAAAATTATTGTTCTTAAAATTGGAGACCGCTCCAAGGACGTATTTAGTTTTATTTACGTATTTAGAATCCAAAATCATTCTGCATTTTAAATACAATTGATTTTAAGTTATTCTTCATAATATCTAAAGGACTATACCTGTCGCCATCACAATAAAATAATTATTATTGCGATTTTGAGACATAAGATTGATTCTCTGAGTATGCTGTTAATAGAGAAATAAATAATATATTATCTAAGCATAGCGAATCGATTCTGTAACGAATGATCATAGGTAGCGACTATCGCTGCTGGGTCAAGAGTGCGTTTACCTTGCCTGTCTGTCTATTGTATAAAATTTAACTTCGCATACTATTAACCCCCTTACATTCACTTTTGTAATGGTAAAGTTTTAAATTTGATTATAATTTGTTTTCGTATTTTAACACTAACAAGTTTTTTGTGGCCGTATGAAAGTAGACGCTTTAGGCTAAATGCATATAAAAAAAAATGATGCCGCCATAAAAATTTAAAGATCTGTGACAACATATTATTTTCGTTGCTTTTTTTTTTATTTTCAGATTCGTATAATATTTCAAAACAGAAAACTTCAAGTTGTTAAGTATAGAAATCTAGCTTAAATGTACTGGTTTAATTGTCATTACAATCGGATTATCCTTTTATGAAGCGATGCCATCTCGTTTTATTCGTTGGTTGGAGTTGTCTTTGCGAAATATATTTGGTAGGTATTCGTGTTCCAAGTGGGTGCTAGTATCGTATATGTGTTTCCGGAATCTCTAGGGTCTACATAGAAAAGTCAAGACAAAAACGATTAAATACCATTTTTTATTCTGTTAGTTAAGCGACGGGTGACGAGTGTTTGTGTTTACAATAAAATAATTTCGGAAAAAATACACTGTTTTGTTTTTTTTTTCTTCTCTCGAACAATTCAACTACAGGAAAAAGCGAATGTAGCATGTAGGTAGGTCTATCTATATGATATGAACGGCCGTCTGGTGTAGAGGTAAGTGACATGGTCACTACACAAGGGGGTCGCGGGTTCGAATCCCGCCAAGGGAAGATATTTGTATGATAAATATAAATGTCTTTTCCAGGGTTATGGATGTATATTAAAATATATGTATGTGTATAATAAAAATCTTACATTTATCGGTAATATATACATAATCTTACGGTTAGCTGGTACCTGTAACACATATACTTTACGAACTTATCACGGGACCAGTTAACGTGGCGTGATTGTTAGTAAATATTTATTTATTATTATTTATTTATATATTAATACGTGAAGCAAAAACTTTGTATCCCTTTTTACGGAAATCGCGCGGACGGAGGAGTATGAAATTTTCCACACTTATAGAGAATATAGAGAAGAAGTGCACAATGCTAATTTTTTTTTTTAATAATGAATATTACATTAAATTAATATAGAAAACATTACACACACTACCATGTATCTGACACACACACGCATGCATACTATTTATTTATTGTCAAACTTTTGTTCTTGACGTCTGTGGTCAAATTGAGAATAGATTAAATATTGTTTGTCTTTATTAATATTTTTCTATAGTGTAGTCTTGGCGTTGAAAATACAATCATAATAGTGTACAAACTTACAATTCCAATTAATTATAGTCGAATTTAGACTACTGCGGGACCTCTAGTACAAAATAAAACTAGATTTCGTATTTTCAGTGATTACGTTTGCATTTCAATTATTGGTCGAACACACCGGTAAATACGTAATTAACATGGTTCGTTTTTTTTTTTTTAATTCCATGACTATTTTCCTGATGTAGTTAATTAGATTCGTTAACTGTAAATAAACTGTTACGGCTATAATGGAGTCAATTTCTATTTTAGACGATTTTTTGTTGATGATGTTTTTATTTTTATTCCTTGTAAATCCTTGGTGTTAGATTAGTTACCTATGTGTGTGTGAGTACTGCTACTGCGGGATGTATTTATTAAAATCTGCATTAAATATATTATTTGTTGGAAATACAAAATAAATAACACAATAGCAGGTCGTGTCTCAGACCCGTTGAATGTTTGTTTTTTTTTTTTTTTTTACATAATTTTGTACGCGTCAACGACTGCCATCAGAAGGAAACTTCGAGAACTTAGTTTTTAATACGAAATAGAAATATAGAGGGGGTGCGCAATACGAATGTTGTCTCTTTCGCAAGTCCGCGTCTAAACGACGGGGCCTTTGTAAATCTCAGTGCGTATATTTTGCGATTTTCTGGATATCTACTAAGCCAAAACCTAGCCATTTCTGTAGATAATTTAATAGTTTTTTAGACGCGTGAACGTCTTATAAAGCTAATGAACATCGGCTGCACGCACTGAACAGGGTCACGTTCCACCGGAGTCTGAGCGCGGAACAAGCGATCGAGAGGCACAATCGGCCCAAGCGTTGTCTTGTGACACATTTATCTCTCTTCGCGCCTGACGTCAGAGCTAGCAGTTCGAATAGTTCTACTAATGACATTATGACGTGATACTATCGTCTGTAAACCGAGAGAGAGAGAGAGAGAATACACTTTATTGCACACCAAAACACAATTTTCATTCAAAAAACAGTCAAAAAGCAGTTTTTTTTTATTGCTTAGATAGACGGACGAGCTCACAGCCCACCTGGTGTTAAGTTGTTACTGGAGCCCATAGACATCTACAACGTAAATGCGCCACCCACCTCGAGATATAAGTTCTAAGATCTCAGTATAGTTACAACGGCTACCCCACCCTTCGAACCGAAACGCATTGCTGCTTCACGGCGGAAATAGGCGGGGTGGTGGTACCTACCCGTGCGGACTCCCAAGAGGTCCTACCAAGAGGATACATTTGCACAATAGGCGTTCTTATCGCTAAAAGCGATTTCTTCCAGACAACCGTTTAATTTAGAGAAATTCTGGGAAATATAAAATACAGCAAGTATGTTGCGGTGTACTATAGATAATACATTATTATAGAAAATATATACATACAATAAACAGATATATACCGACTTAACACACAACCAATAATTTTTTTTGTTTCTACGTAAATACATGGCGTATTTTAAAAAAATATATAATCATACTGAACTTTTCAAGATGCAGTAAAATCGGTTACATTTATTAAGTAACCAACCGCAGAGATGTAATTGTATTTTAAAATTGGCATTCACCAAGTCAAGGCTTTTACGGTCAAGGTCATTGACAAATATAGTTGGATAGGCGATAACGCCATCATTCATGTTTCTGATCTTGAAGCTTGAAGTTTGGTTCGATTACTTGTTAGCGGACAATTTCATTTTGAATCCAAACGGAAGAGGTCTGTTCGTAATGTCGATAAGTCGTCGTGGTCCAAAGGATAAGACGTCCGGTGCATTCGTATCTAGTAGCAACTCCACGGTGTTCGAATCCCGCAGGCGGGTACCAATTTTCCTAATGAAATACGTACTTGACAAACGTTCACGATTGACTTCCACGGTGAAGGAATAACATCGTATAATAAAAATCAAACCCGCAAAATTGTAATTTGCGTAATTACTGGTGGAAGGACCTTTTGTGAGTCCGCGCGGGTAGGTACCACCACCCCGCCTATTTCTGCCGTGAAGCAGGTGGGCTCTGAGATCGTCCACTCATCTAAGCAATAAAAAATAAAAAGCTCCGGTATCACGGAACGTTTAGAACCTCTGGATCGGCGGAGGGACTTCGGTTCTCGCTGTATTTTATACCGTATGTGCCATGCATAGACATCGTCCAAATTCAGTTTTCTTATAGGATTGAAGAGCAACGTACAGACATACTAAAGTAGCATGTAAAAAAATATAATATATACGCACGTATATAGATAATAAAAACCCAAAAATAGAGCAAAAATTTATTACTGTTTTACTGTTAGTACTGTAAAAATGTTTGGTCGATGTGGGAATCGAATCCACTACCCTTGGCGGAACAGTGAACAGGCGCTAACTACGGCACCACCGAGTCAGTCAAAATTCAATGTATAATAGTTTATTTCGACGCGAATCGCACTAAAATATTTTACCACGCAATAAACGTGTTATGCAATAAAATTTCTATTTACATTAACTAATGGAGTTACCTAATAGAAACTCTCAGTTAACATTGTTACGAAATATTTTCAAATTGTACTTGTTGGGGTTCAATTTGATTGTCGCTTGGTATTTTTTTGTTTTGCTTTTTTTTTATTTATTGCTTTTATGGGTGGAAGAGCTCACAGCCCATCTGGTGTTAAGTGGTTACTGGAGCCCATAGACATCAACAACGTAAATGCGCCACCCACCTTGAGATATAAGTTCTAAGATCTGTATAGTTACAACGGCTGTCCCACCCTTCAAACCGAAACGCATTACTGCTTCACGCCAGAAATAGGCAGGGTGGTGGTACCTACCCGCGCGGACTCACAAGAGGTCCTACCACCAGTAAACTTTGTGACCTCTTGAAGCGGCATAAACAATTCTAAGTTATTATATTATATTAGTTATTAAACACATAAATTATTTTACGATTTAAATTTTTTGGCGGTAAAAAGGTCCCGTGTCACAGACTATCTTCTTTTCCCACCTCTCGTGCGTTCCGGCTTACGCATCATAAAAAGGTGCGTTCTTAAACGCCACATATTTAATCAAATTCGGCATCCAATATAACATCACCCAAGGATAGCTTGAGCGACCCGCGATAATTTTCGTGCACTCTGATGTGTGATACACATACAAAGACGTGTCAACTATCACACTTCACACGGAACTCGCGTGCGCATTGATAACCCATAGAGTTATGTATGTTTTTTTTTTATCATTTAAAAGGTAAATTTTGCTGGGTCGTTTGAATCCGTGATCGGCCGGACGACTTCAAGTGTATTTCAAACAGTCGACCGCCGGCAGCCGACCAGAGTGGACGGATTCAATCAAAACGTATAGCGTATATCTATCTGAATACGCGAGTGATTGCGCGCGTGTCTATAATTTGGTTTTTGTTTTATTTAAATATTATTTTGGATTATCTTCAATCGAGGACCGAGTTATTGACTAAATGTAAGTGTGTATTTTTTTATTCGCAATTCAAAGACTTTCTATGATAAGTTTGATAATCCGTTTTTTTTCTTCTATAAATTCACCTTTAGATCGAGTTCAATGACTTGTGTTATTATAGCATTTTATTAATTTACATGCGAAAGTAGATTTTGAATTGATAGTTTTTGGGTTTAATATCGTCGTGATTTCGTTTTGTCGAATTGATCGAAAGTATATACGTTCACGTGAATGCTAATTCACACTTGAGGATCGAAGTTCATTGTTTTAACTTAAAGCCATCGTCGTATGAATTAGACGGCAAAAAGTACAAAAAAACATTTAAAACTACAACGGATAAAGCTTCGAATGTTGCAGTCTTCGCTTGTTTTTTGTCGACCATTAGCCATTAGCCGCTGAGGGCTATTCTGATTTCACCTTTACTAATGATCCACCGTGCGGCCCTCAGACTGAAAGAACTTGCTAACACAAGTCCTAGCAATCGAGTCGGAATCGCGGCCCACTGAGAACATCCGTCGAGAAACTCCGTGGACTGTGTCTATGGGTTAAATAGTTTTCGCGGTCATTCAAGGACATTCTTGAATGTGTGATTCGCTGTGATAATTGCTGAACACAAGTAATACGGATATTTGTTGAGACGAAACGCGCACACTCTTCGTAACTTGAAAGCTTTAAGATGACAATAATTGTGACTCGCAAGAAAATATATTTAAACTGTATTCAATTATATTAACGTTCAAAATTCAATGGCCTCTCACTACTTCGTATATTCAATAGTGTTTTCATGTATGTACCTACTGTGGCAAGTCAATTTAGCGCCCTTTTTTTGTTGTCATCATATCCGAATACACTATACAGAATAAGACGGTAGTTCATATATTATACAAATTATGACTTTTTGGCGGGAACGCGAGGAGTGAAGTTGTGTGATTTGTTTTCTTTTGTCTATTTAGTGTTTCTTCAGGTTTAAATGTGTAATTACGGTGGTTTATTAACTGTTTAGTATCTGTGAAAGTGTACAAATGTGGAAAAATGAAACAAAGCCGCTGGACGTAACTTCTTGGGATCCTCCAAAAAGTCTACTGAAAAAATCTCAGTAAATGACCACCATCTTACTGAGATTATATTTCATCCAATATCATTTCATTTAATTTCATCCCAGTTGATTAATGTCTCAAATTAATCATCTCAATAATCATTTCACTCCATATTATCAGTTTTCATAAAAATAAGAATATAAATTAAAATAAGACATGACCTTAAAGGTCTTAGTTACCAGGTCATGAAATCCCATAAAATTATGACGTATACCACCTTAACTTATTGTATTCGAAACCTTGGAAACAATGTCGTGGAGTGAATGACAATTTGGTTTAAGCTAAATGCTTGCAACTTTACGGGATAGCCATTTAAAGTTTAAAATTTGGGAAAAATATCATAACAAAAAAAACTAATTCAGCTGTTTGAATGGATTAAACTTACTTAATTAAAGTTCAATTAGAAACATCGAACTGTTGATGCTTATCTATATCTATACTCTATACTAATATTATAAAGAGGAAAGTTTTGTTTGTTTGTTTGTATTGAATAGGCTCCGAAACTACTGAACCGATTTGAAAAATTATTTCAATGTTTGGAAGCTACACTATTCCCGAGTGACATAGGATATATTATCATCTTTTTTGAAAAAAATTAGGGCTCTTTACTAAAACTCCAATAATGTAACCCAAGGTGTAAAAAAATTACCTAAAATATTACTTTACATCGCGTGCCCTACGAAAACTATTGATGATAGAATAGAATAATGTACTACGACTTTGTAGAACACATTATTAAAAGTGTCGCGACAGCATTTATATCGAACTATTATAGTTATGCCGCAATAAGTGTTATTCTATTTAAAGTACCGAGCGGAGCCGGAGCGGGCCGCTAGTCTTATCTATTTATATATATAAAAATGAATTGCTGTTCGTTAGTCTCGCTAAAACTCGAGAACGGCTGGATCGATTTGGCTAATTTTGGTCTTGAATTATTTGTGGTAGTCCAGAGATGGTTTAAAAGGTAGATAAATATGAAAATGCTCGGAATTAAATAAAAATAACACTTTTGTTTTTCCTTTGATGTGTCCCCCCTCGGACGGATTCCTTTTGTTTCTTTTAAGTTTATTTTATACAAAAGTTTACGTCTTTTATTTATCGATTGAAGCACTACGAAGTCTGCCGGGTCAGCTAGTACTAAATAAAAGGCAACCTTAATTACAAAGAAAGAATGATTGTAACAGAAGCGAGAATCTAATCGCAGCAGTAGTATTAATTACGTATTTTAACGTTCAAAATTCAGTGGCCTCCTAATCGGCACTATTGTATTCTACTACGAATGATTGATTTGATTTTTACTGGTGGTAGGGCCTCTTGTGAGTCCGCTCGGGTAGGTACTACCACCCCGCCTATTTTTGACGTGAAGCAGTAACGCGTTTCGGTTTGAAGGGCGGGGCAGCCGTTGTAAATATACTGAGACCTTAGAACTTATATCTCAAGATGGGTGGCGCATTTACGTTGTCTATGGGCTCCGATAACCACTTAATATTAGGTGGGCTGTGACCTCATCCACCCATCTAAGCAATATAAAAAAATATAAAAAAAAGAACGCATAGTAATCGTATTCTCTCTAGCCGTAACGTATCTGATGCGAGTTAAATTTTACACTCAACGCGCCTAAAGAAGTTTCACTTCAAAAGCCAATCGAATTCAGAAACTTCTCGAAGTCCGCTCAGAAAACTAGAGACCACGCATGTCATCATCTGATAAGGCAATACATAAATACACGAGTATCAAAGATCGGAATTTAAACCCCCTTTTTTACTCTCAGACTGAATAGCCGACTATACGATAATGTTATTGAGAAGGTCATCATCAGTCAATATCAATGCCTTCTATTTTTTTATGATTTGATTCCTTTTGCGATTCGTAGGCCATAGCTTGGTCTGTGCCCCTCGCATTTCTGTCTATGGTTGATGGTTACCGTCAACCACTCACTGTCAGTTCGGCCGGATATTCGTTGGCGTATAAAGCCAATAAAATAAATAATAGTTTGAAAAAAAAACTAAAAACATACGCTTTTGTAGAAAATCCAATAAAAAAAAAAAAAATTAATAACGTTGAATTAAAAATAGTGTAAGAAAATATGATTTTATTGTAAAATTGTAAAAGGCGTGGGGTGCTTTTCAGGATATTATCAAAATAACCCTTCTACTCATATCTGTTCATAAAATATAGCTATTTATACCATGCACCCGCTTTTTTATTCAAATTTATTTTCTATTTTTAGTTGGTTTTTTTATAAAAGCGTATATTTTTAGTTTTTTTTTAAACTATTATTTATTTTTAATTTTTTAGTTGAATTTCAATTTATCCAATTTTTTTTGCAATGGTTCAAAAATTTCATCTGAATCAGTCGGTGACATATTCGAGAAATAGGTGATCGGCAGACAATCGCTAATCTTGATTATCCTATTAAGGCTAACGGATCAAACTGCTTAAAATATTGAATTGTCATCGGTCCTTAATAAGTATGCCAAATTTCGAGTTAATCCGACGTTTTGAAGGGCGTCAAAATCATGTTCAAAGATTCCGTTACGTAATAACATACGTATGAAGCTAATAAAAGCGTATTAAAAAAGAAAACTGTCATTATGACATCACGAAGTGACGTCATACTCTGACTTCACATTGACGATATATTACGTCTTCGACTAGCAGTCGCAGACGTTTTTCCTACCATCATTTTTTACTAGTGGTAGGATCTTTACTGGTGGTAAGATCTCTTGTGAGTCCGCGCGGGTATATACCACCACCCTGCCTATTTCTGCCGTGAAGCAGTAATGCGTTTAGGTTTGAAGGGTAGGGCAGCCGTTGTAACTATACTTGAGACCTTAGAACTTATATCTCAATATGGGTGGCGCATTTACGTTGTAGATGTCTATAGGCTCCAGTAACCACTTAACACCAGGTGGGCTGTGTGCTCGTCTACCCATCTAAGCAATAAAAAAAAAAACGTATAGTTGAGTCGACTATTATCAAAGGCGGCAATCTGACTTTTGGACAATGATTGGTAAATCAGAAAAACGAATTATTGACTTTGTATTCCATCGGCAGTCACAAAACTCTTCGGAACGACATCTTAGATAAATAACAGGTTAACTATTAACCTTTATTTAATGCAGGTTTTGAACCGTATTCTTTGAAGGAGACGATTATATTCAAATAANATTCCATCGGCAGTCACAAAACTCTTCGGAACGACATCTTAGATAAATAACAGGTTAACTATTAACCTTTATTTAATGCAGGTTTTGAACCGTATTCTTTGAAGGAGACGATTATATTCAAATAAATCTGTATTGACATATCAATAAAATTTTGTTGTCCAAATGCACAGATTGCCGCCTTTGATAATAGACGACTCAGTTATCGTATTCTCTCTAGCCGTAACGTATCTGATGCGAGTTAAATTTTACACTCAACGCGCCTAAAGAAGTTTCACTTTAAAAGCCAATCGAATTCAGAAACTTCTCGAAGTCCGCTCAGAAAACTAGAGACCACACATGTCTAATTAAAAGGGTCTTTATTTGCCTTGCTGTTTCTACGTACAATATTCGGTTCTGACGTTATAGAATTTTCATTAATATCGCACAGAGTTGTCGTCGGGTGCAAGAATTTGACCCCACGACGGACGGTCCGGACGTAATTCTATGTAAATTCACAACAAGCAACGCGGAGTTTGTTTACCGATTAAGTATTTAATGGTTGTTGGATTTTCGGTCGAAAAAAGCGGGTCAGAGTTGGATATTTGTACCTACGGGACTAAAGAACAGAGGGATTGTCTCTCAATGCGAGTGTTAATTTGTAAGTATTTATTCTGGGTGAACCGATTTTGAAAGTCAATCGTGAATATTTGTTAAGTACGTATTTCATTAGAAAAATTAGTACCCGCCTGCGGGATTC